CGAAAGGCCTGAGCTCCAACTGCTTAGTTCTTTTTTCCGATAGCACAGGAAGATTGAAAGTGAGAGGCACACTTTGCACTGGTTAAGTCAGGAAACGGCGTCGGTAGTCTTGTCAGGTGTAAGGTTAACGGACTCATAATCGTGAAATAGCGAGATCAGGGTTCGAAACCCAGCTCAGTCGGACGTTATGTCCTTGGGAAAACCAGTTTTCACTATTTTCCACATTTGGCTCGATCCTATGGGCTTAAATTCAGAGTTCCAGTCTCCTAAATAACAGTACAGTATTGCAAGGGCCTTAAAGCAATTGGATTTGATTCTACACATAGATTTTAGGTCGGGGCATGGTGTACAAAGACAGATTAGTTTGATTAAAAACACTTTTCATGCAAAATAGTGATGGGTTACTACTGAAGAAAAACACAGGCTTTTAGAAACAACAGAAGGGGAGAGAAATATAGAGCCTGAAATGACACCCTTCAACTATCTGCGTTCTCGGGAATATTTTGCACAGGAAGTCACGGGCAGACAACACAGGACCCGCCCCATATCAATCATCACAAGGCAGAGTTACACTTCCGGGTTACGGAAAGCAACATTCGGGTCCTTGTGGGGACATGACCGTATGACGTCTCAATGACATGCTTGAGTCTGAGAGAGAGAGAGAGAGAGAGAGAGAGAGAGAGAGAGAGAGAGAGAGAGAGTGTGTGTGTGTGTGTGTGTGTGTGTGTGTGTGTGTGTGTGTGTGTGTGTGTTAGAGAGAGAGACAGAGAGAGAGCCTTTATAGATTCAAGGATTTTGTTGGGAGCAACGATAGAAAACAGATCTTGCAATTTTTTGCTCCTAAAATATTTCATTCGAGTCTCTCAGAAGTCTAGACAATCTGTTAAAATATGTCTAATGGTAAAATCTGTGTCGCATCCGACTCAGAACGGCTTCTCATCTTCCTGAAGGAGGCATTTGTGTGTCAGGGACGAGTGTCCGATGAGTAATCGAGGTAAAATGACTTCGTCTCTTCTGGAGAGGCCCGAAGCTTTTTGATGACCCAGTTTGGGCTTGATGTTGTGTAGTTTGTTGTTGGTTTGATTCTTCCAGTGAGTCTCCCACAGACTGGAGATGTAGTTTTTTACTTTAATTTTAAAGTCAGTCTGTGGGAGAGTGTTCGTCGTTGATCCCAACAGAAGAGAAAAGGATTCCTTGGCCAGGAGATCCACTTGCTCGTTTCTTCGGAAGCCCACATGGCTAGGTAGCCATGCGAGCACGATACCTTTCCCGGTTTCAGTTAAAGCGTGTGTTTTTTGTTGTAACCTAACTTGTTTTGTGTGTAAGAGTTTGAAAGTGAGGGGATGCAAGGCAGAGGGTCAGATAGGATACGGAAAGATTTGTTAGGAAAATTTTCTACAGAGTCCAGTGCCATGTCAATGGCAGTGGCCTCTGCAGAGAAAATGGAGGCTTCGGAATGGAGTCTCCTCTGGTGTGTACTGTTTGAGGATAGGGCAGCGGCGCCCAAAGCACAGTCCAATTTAGAGCCACCTGTGAAGATTAGCTCCGCACCGGGGTATTTTTATATAGTTGTTTTGTTTTTTTGGTATGCTGCTTCAATGTTTTGGTCTTTGTATTTGCTTTGATGTGTGTGGTCAGCATTAAGTCTACTTTTGCCTTGGTGAGATGCCACGCGGGAAGGTTTTCCAAGAAATTGTTGTATGTCTTGTTTGGAACAGTGTATGTTATGAGATCCTCAAGGACTCCAAGACCGAAGGGTTTGATGAGTTTTTCGTTGTTTTTGAATTTGCTAATGATGTCTAGGTTGTTTTTATTTTGAAAATACACTCGTGTGCAGGGTTCTCTGGTGTTGAGCTTTGTTTAATTGCGTATTGTAGTGAGAGTTGTGTTCATCTGAGTGTGAGTGATGGTTTGTTTGCCTCGGCCTGGAGGCTCTCCAAAGGAGAAGTTCAGAAAGTCCCCAGGGCGAGGCGGAGTTTTTAGTTTTGCACTGGGTCTAGCACATTTAGGACGTGCGGTTCTGCCAAGCCATCGACCTGACAGCCGAGGTCAAGCCTGGATCGGACAAGGGAAATGTATAGGTGGAGAAGGGTTTTGAGTCGCTGCCCCACTCTGGATGCGACAACATTTTCAAAGTGTTTCTTGTCAAATATAATGACGAGGAAAAGAGCATGGTCCTTAATGGGAATCCTTTCCCTATGTAGCGTCAAATCCGGCTGAGGTACACGTCTGCCTGATTGGCAGAAGTGCACTGCAACCAACCTTGGTGGGGAAAACTTGAAACCGTTATTTTTTTCCGACTTTTCAAGTTGTGCAGCTGTGTTTGCAGCTGCCATTCCATATATCTTCTTCGTTGAGGACTTTTCGAAAGGCAGCATAGCAGTAAGTCGTCAACGTATAACGAGCTGTCTATGCTATTTTGAAGGGTCTCAACGATGTAATCTATTTGAATTTCGAATAGGGAAGGAGAAAGGAAGCTTTCCTGGGGCTTCCTCCTGTTGGTGGGGATCTGAAAGGGGATCTGAAAAGGAGGATCCGATACGAACCTGAAAGGAACGGTTCTTCAGGAAATTGCCAATGAAGGCAGGGAGGTGATCGCGTATGCCAAGAGCGTGCAGGTATCTGAGAATGCCGTACTTCCAGGTTGTGTCGAAAGCTTTTTCTAGGTTTAAAAAAAAGATGGCGATCATGTGGCCTCCCAAGGCAAACGTCTAGCGTATAAAGGTCTCCAATCGGACCAGGTGATCCAGAGTGGATCGGGTTTTCCTGAATCCGCACTGAAGACCACTCAGCGAGTCCGTCGTCTCCAAAAGCCATTATGAGTCGCCCTTGAATAACTTTTTCTATAAGTTTGCATAGACAGCTTGTAAGTGCTATTGGTCTGTAATTTGATGAGTGTGTGTGGTCTTTGTTGGGAATGACAGGAGTGAGACCGCCACATGTCCTTGTATATGTCTAGTCGGAGTGTAAATGTCTAATGATCTGGTTGCGAATGTCATCCAGATCCGGAGCTATATTGCCCAGGTCCGAGATGCACGTCTAATGTGAAATCTGCATTGTAGGTTTCAGGGTTGTTTGAGAGGAAGTTCAGGGGTTATTGTTCTCTGTTAGTTTTTATGTTTTGGAAAGTGGTGTTGTAGTTTGCGTTGGATGAGTTTTTGGATAGAGATGTAGCTATTGTGTCTGTGATGTCTACCTGTGTTTCAGCTGTATTCCATCCGGCCTCTTAACGTGCAGGATGGTGACTGTGCGTCTACTCTACTTTTTTCTAGCAAATTGAGTGGTGTCTGACTGTTGATTTTGGAGATGTATAATCTGTACGATTGCCTTTTGCCCTCCCTGAGGCATCTACATTCCTCAGCTCGAGCTTTAAAATATTTAATTTTGTTTTGTGCTGTGGTGTTGTCGACGGCTCTCCGATATATATGCCGCCTTTTTTTTCTTTACTGCATCATCACATTCCCCAGAGAACCAGATCTTGTTCCTTCTGGGTTTTGGAGATGTTTTTGGTGTGTATTTGTGACATATTTCTAGAAGCATTTCATGGAATTTGTTGTAGTTGAGGTCGAAAGTGGAATTCAAAATCTGGAAACATTCAATGGCGAACCTGTCTTATTGTACTTTTTAAAAATTGAAGCATTCTTGGATCGGGTCGTTTTGGAGGCTAACTTTTTTTTTTTAAATTGGGAAATAGCCCGTACGGTCATCCAGCACAGACCACTCGAGATCAGGGACTAGGTCAGGAGTTCGGAAGGTGAGGTCAAGGGATGAAGTGCTAAAATGGATCTGTTTCTGTAAAGGGGGGGGGGGAGAGGCTATCATTTAAAAGGCAGATGTTATGAAATAAAAAGTCTTCTATTATTTTTCCTTCCTGGTCCGTGGGTTTGTCTCCCCAAAGAGGGCTGTAGGCATTATAAAGTCACCTAGCAAAATAAAGGGTTGTGGAAGCTGGAGCTATAAATCATTTAGTTGAGTTATTTTGATGTGGTAATGTGATCGGATATAAACAGAGCAGATCGTGATCGGTATGTGTAGAGTGACCCGAACGGCAATACCATGGAGAGTTGTCCTAAGATGTACTTGTCTGTGAAGTATGTTGTTATCGGTTTAGATGGTGGTTCCACCGGAAGCAATCTGGTTCTCCGTATGAATAGGAGTGACGGGCTCCACCCCTCGCGGGGACAGACCGGGAAGGAGATTCGGAGTTGTCATCGTCCATTGGTTTTTTTGGGGGGGAGGTGGATGATGGAGGGGTACGGGGTTGTGGAGCAGACGGAGGAGGCTGAGAAGGGTA